CGCACAGAAATGTCACTAACCTCCATCAATCCAAATAGCGGGACTGCCTGGACGTCCCGAGGATATCTTGAGCACTTTGAGTGGACGTCCTTCTATTGAATTACCGATAGTCTGGATGGTCACAAGCTGAGGGTAGGTCTGGGCTAGGTAGTCCAAATAGCCATAAATGTCTGCTAGTCGGTGATATGACTGCCAAGTCATGCGGTGACCTAAACTCAAAAGAATACAAACACAACTTAATCTTCTGCAAGAATGAAATTTATTAAAAATGATGTCATTGAATCAACCGATCCATATGAGACTTACATACACTTCCAGATAAATTTTATAATCACTAATTGTCATGTGGGCATTAGTATCAGGGTAACGAAAGCAGGATTTGGTAAAGCGCAATGTTGAAAATTTAACTGAAGATCATATAACTAACGGTAAGGTAAAGTTGCCTCTGTGCATCACAAACAATGATCTTGATCTAGTGTGAAGATAAGACTGCGTGGAGCTTCATAGTGCAATATTTACGCACCGGCGAAACACTGCTCCATAAATTTATTCTACAGAGGTCTCTGATGTGGCAACAAGAATTTAACTCTGCGGACAGCAGAATATGTCCACTTTTCTTCCTAATGACTCACCTTTCCTGCCCTCAAGTTCCTCCATTTCGTCTGTAGTCATTGTAGGGTTCTCCGTATCAATAGCTGCCTGCAAGTTGTCTATGATGACATCAAAAGTAAGCCCGCTGCCATCAAGAAACTCCTTTACCTTGTCCGCATTCTCAGGTCTCACCATTACATCCACTGTTGAACTATTAGTGGCCAGTCGTAGCCATGTATCAACTCCTGAGGTTGAACAGTTAAGCGTTAATAACACCATTCATCTGGCAGATTTCTCTTACGAGAATAACACATGCAGAATAAATGTAACGCAAGATAATTATCAGTTCCAAACAACCTTTTAGCACGTAAGATACACTGTATATACTTTGTTACATCAATGGGTATGATAAATATAATAACTGAACATGGTATAGCAATTTTGGAGGGCAGAGGACGCGTGTAATACTTTTTGAGCACCTAATATCGCTCTACAAGCAAGTAAAAGGAAATTGCCAGTGTTTTCTGCTGGTGGATGCTGTAACCTCTGGAGGACATGTTTCCTGGTTGGCAAATGGGGAATCCCACCAGATGTGAGATGGTCCGAGGGCAAGTACAGACCCCAGTTTCTGAAAACACTAAGACGGAAGCTCAACAAGTTATAAAGGTACGGAAGCCAAATCACTGACACTAAACTACCTAACGTCTGAGATCAGCCAAGATGTAAAAGCCCAATTTTAGATGAGGGTATGACAGAACGATGCTTGGTCAGGGCTAAACGTCTGCAATCGTCCCAAATAAAACAGGCTAATGGTAAGAAGATGGCTGTCTTTCGGGTTGTGGCACCTTGTAGTCTGGCAGAAGTTTACTTATCGCCCTGATGACAGAGGCAGCAAAGACCTCTGAAACGTTAGTAAACTTCTGCCAGACTACAAGGTGCCACAACCCAGAAGAGAGCCATCTTCGGACTCACCGCTGTGAAAACCTTAAAACCCACTTAGGTTAATGGTAATTTTTTCACCTGAGGAGGGCCCCAAGTACTGACCAGTACAAAATTAAAGGTCCTTACCTTCCATATCTTGCAGCGTCCGCAGGGCTACTTCCTTTTCTTCTGAAGGAGCCGTCACTTTCAACAGCTGTGCTCCCTCGTACGAAATGCGAGCCTCGTCTGCCGGTTCGGGGGAGGTGGCCCCGTCATCAGCACGTAGGGGTGCTAACGCAAAGCACAACAGTAGCAGCGACTTCATGACTGAACGAGTGGTCTCCGCGGTTGGGTCTCTTATAGACGCCATGCGTGACCTCTGCAGTCAGTGCTCCGTCCAGGAAACGTCTCACACCTCGTCTTGCGGTAGCGTAACAACGCTCAGTCGCCTATCGCTTCTCGGCATTTCGAATGGCTCAACACGAGAGACGCTTCGGGTCCCATAATAAATCTAGAATATTTTTCGGTTGGTTTTGCGGGTCTCAAACTGACTCAACTTCACCGGCGATTCGCGAATATCAGCACGTTAAAGAAATTTAACCAAAATTAAATGAGGAGAAATTTCAGGTTTTCACGATGGCGAGTTTGAAGAAGACTGTCATCTAGAGCAGTGGTATTCAACCTGGGTTACGCGTACCCCCGGGGGTACGCGAAATTAAAAAAGGTTGAATACCACTGCTCTAGAGTGCTGCAACTCTGATACGTCGATCAATTAAATTACTTAGACGGTGGTTAAGTCCAACAGAACGTGTTATCATCGTCAGATCTTTAAACTACGCGCGAAAAATTCATGAAGGATAGTCATTCCCTTTCATGAGTAAGCCATCCTGATGATTGGGGTAAATAAAACACTTGAACCAAAATAAAATTAGCGATTATCGATTTAGATCAGACAATAACCTCCGGTTCTGGGAACCTCGCACTGGATACCTCAACATTTCCGCCAGCATCTGGCTAACTCGTCCTGCCAGAAGAGGTTTGATCTCTGCGACCGCCATGTCCCCAGGGCATGGAACACAGATGCAGCTTCAATGGTTCCCCTAATGAAGCTACGAGTACAAACACATTTCCTCTAGCCGGCTGTGTCCCGTTACGAAGAGATAAAAACACGTTTTACTATACCAGAGATTAAACGTGTTCCTTTTTTCCCCCCCTTTAGAATCAAAATTCAACCAAATTAAACGATAATAAATATAAGTTAACGATAGTCTCAACTTACTTCTCCAAGCTACGAGGCGCGTCCCAAAAGTAAGTTTCCCACTCGTCCCACAGCTAGCAAACCTTATATTGCGCGAAGCGACTGTGCGTACGTGATAGAGCAATGACGTAGCATGGCGCATGCACTAACGGCACTTCCCGCGTTCTCACAGTAGCATCGTTGCAGCTGTTGAAGATGGAGGTTCTTATTCCAGCTCCCGCCGACTGTGAAGTGCGGTCAGTGATAACGCTAGGCCGCACACGGCTCGACAGACAGCAAGTCTCCTGCAGGAGTTCAGCTGGGAGGTGTTTAATCATCCACCCTACAGCCCGGACCTCGCTCCCAGTGATTTCCATCTTTTCCTACACCTCAAGAAATTCCTGTCCGGTCAGCGTCAGCGTTTTGAGAATGACAGAGAGGCGGAGATGGTTGTCACACAGTGGTTCCAATCCCAGGCGGCAGACTTCTACGACCCAGGTATTCAAAAGTTGGTCCCACGGTATGACCAATGTCTCAATTCCGGTGGCGAATATGTTGAAAAATAGCTGGACACTTGCTGTATCTGTTGCAATAAATATTTCCATGAAATTGTGTTTTGTTTCTGTAAACGGCCCCAGGGAAACTTACTTTTGGGACGCGCCTCGTATTATCATCTATTCAACAAACACGATCACTGGGACGAAGACAAGGGAAATGTGGAGAGACGAATAATTTTGTTAACATTTTGCTGTAACAGTGGAAAAACAAGGACACCTAATTCCATTACGAGGGGCCGTGCCTTGGGACAAAAAGATGGAACATTTCTCATGCCATTTGGCCGTCTACCACCGATAATGACACGAGATAGCGTTACCGGCGAAGACAATTAAGTCCCCATTAGCTGGATTTAAGGCAGAACAGTCTGTCACAAGGCAGATAACGACCAGAACTAAGCTGTTCTATGGTTCTTTTAAATGGTCTATCATAAATCCAACAGCGAGCATGCCTGTTCACATGTACAAGAAATAACACACAGGCTACATTTTGTATTTAAGACAGGTTGTACCACGCATTTGTATGCAGCTATGAATCACAGATAACCCCATGCAGTGCAGGACCACTCAGCTAATTATACAATCAAAATTCTATACGATGTTTTCTGTGGTACATTTTAATATGTGCTTTGGTGGGATACAACCCTTCCTGGTTCAACGTCCTCACCAGAAGGGCATTCCAGGGTAGGCGTTGGGTTAATACAGACTGGCACGTGGCCAGTACACGTTCTATCACTCAAAAATCAAAAGTGCAGTGACACGGCGTGGGTCAAGGAGGTAACAGTCTGAAACCCCATGGGCCTGTCCCTGTGTTATATCAAAGAACCACCACATTCCAAACCCAAAACATACCAATACATTTAATGATACTTAAATAAATAAGTATGGTAACAGGAACAGACTTTGTCCAGTCCCGTAATACACAATGTTAATAAAATCGGCGTTGGTTTTCTCGGTTGTGACACCGTGCGGACTTGTAGGTAGATACCAACGTTTCGGAGAACATACTGCCTCCATCTTAAAGGCTGAAATACTTA